AGGCACTCTGTACAAACAGCCATTCTGCTCCCAGGCAAAGAGCAGCATTTCGGCAAAGAGGAGCTGCGTTTTGGCCACGAGGCACACGTGACATTGGCACAAAGACACCGGGACAGTCCCTTCTGGCCTTGCCTGAAAAATCCCCAACATCCCAGTGCCAGGCCATGGGGCTCCACTTCATCCAACTGTCCATGAGGTTGAAGGCAAGGGCATTTTCAGTGTCTCTTGGTATTTATTTAATGAAGCATTTTCAGTCGGGCTCGGAGGCTGAAGGAAGTGGATGAGCTCTGTCTCTTTGTTTGCCTCTTCCGAGGCTGAAAGAAGTGTTAATGAAGAGGAAATTCAGGGACATCAGAGACACAGGATGTATAAATATGCACAAAGCTAAGGCCAAATCCTCAGCTGCCACGTGCACCCAGACATGAGGGAATGCAACTTGGGAGAATTATTAAGGGCTTGGTGTGTGTTTTCAGGCTGCACCAGGAGAAGGGAGGGGTGGGAATAAGGTCTTACCCTGGGGTGGGGAGAGAAAGTTCAGAGCCCACTTGCAATCCTGCCCAGGTTCTGGGAAGGGGTTGCATCCAACTCTGCTGCCCAACAGGCACCTCACCCACCCCCCAACCTGGGCAGCAGAGCTCTGGGGGTGAACGTGAGCTCAGCAGTGGTTTCAGGAGTGTCTGCACACAGCTAAATTATTCAGAGCAGCTCGTTACTCAGAGCTTTTCCTGTGTGTCTGTGCTCCAAGAGGTTTTAAAAGAGACAGTCATAGTCAGCAAATCAACTCCTCACTCTCAGATGATCCTCCTCATTTCAGGTATGAATAATATTCCTGGCTGAGAGTCTCTTATTACAGGTTATCTGCAGATTGTAATAACCTTTTGTGCTTCTACTTTGGAGATGAAATAATGGTTCCTCACTGAGTCCTTCTCTCTGATCAAAGGAGCTTTGTTGCCTTAGGACCAGATTCAGGGGAAAGAAGGATTGTAAAAGCCCTTGAAAACTGTAATTCCTTTCCAGGTTCTGAAAAAAAGAAAAGCTGTGTGGCACAGCAGTTTTATTTAGACCTGTTCAATCTTTCAGAAGCACGGAGGGCTCCGTTCCCCAAACACAGACACTGAGCCTTGCTCTTAATATGTTGTTTTAAGGAAAGGAAGAGCTAAGCAGTCCTGCTGAAACCCATCCCAGTTTCCTGCATGGCTCTGGGCTGTTCTGAGCAGGCTGTTGCTGCAACTCCTGTAATTATGGTGGATGAAAATCCCAAAGCCAAAGCAAATGTTCCTGGTTCAGACAGGCCGTGTGTGGCCCCGATTTGCCTTCACACCCTCCAGGGGCATTTCTGTGATTCCCTTTTTCTTTCACAAGGCCGACTCCTCTCTTACCCATCCCCACACTGGTGTCAGGCTTCTTCAAACCACTGTGCTGGCAGCTCAGTGACACACTGAAGACCTTCAGACATTGTTCTTTCCCCAGGAGGGACGGGTAGAAGCTGCTTTGTTATCTTGACTCCACAAACTGGCAGATGGCAGCACCAACAGTGGTGTTTCCCAGGAAAGCAGCCCAGGCCAAGGCTGCCCATCATCCCCTCCCTTCCCAGCCCCCTGTCCCTTGTCTGGTGCCTCCATCTGTCCCAACAAACTGGGAAAGAACTGGATCTAGATGAAAACCACCCATTATGAGCTATCATTTCCTGCACACAAAAGGAAGTTACATCCCCTGGGGTATTCTGATATTCAAAGAGGTGCAAACTTCCTCAAAGATATGTTTATTCCCATCTAAATTCACAGCTGTGAAACTATCTGATATCAAAGCCAAGGCAAAGTTTCTTCAGTTTTGCTGTGTGGTTCTTTTTTAGTCTGGTTTAAAGTAGAACTTCCTTGCAGGCTGCCTTTATAGGGATTTAGAAAATGGAATGCTGGACAACAGCAAGGTGCTTTTGGAACCTGCCAGCTTGAGAAAAGAAGGCAGTGCAGAATACAGTGATTAATTCCAGCTGTTGCCAGAGGGAGATGAAGATTTACAGTGCCAGTTGTGCAGTGATTTCAGCTGGGGGCTGCCAGCTTGGGGAGCTGAACTGCAGAGCTCTTTTTGCACAGAAACCCCAGCAGAGGCCCCCAGCCATCCATTCCACGAGCTGCAAGAAAGATGCCCTGCTAATTAAGATGGATCTCTGTGTTTTGGAGGGAGTGCCTGGCTCTAGAGCGTGTCTGGATGATGAAGACATGGAGGCACTGGAGGGCTGTTCCTATGTCCTGGCAACCCTTAAATGGCTGGCAAAATTTACTGTGTTGACATCCATCTTGCTGTCTTCCCCTCAGCTTTCTGTGCCTTCTTGCCTCTTCCAAGTGCAGGGAAATATGATGATAGTTAGAGCCCTTCCATCTTGTGTTGTGACAGCATTGGGTAAGAATTTATAAAAGAAATCCTAAGAACTGCTCAAGAAGTGTTAAGGATCCTGCAATCCTATTATTTAGCACTGTGATTCTGCCTGTGTTTGTAAGTGGAGGTGTAGAGACACTCAGGAACTGGGAGGAACAGGATGATGAGGCTTAAGATTGCAGGAACAAAAGGTGTTGGAGGTGCAGAGGTAAACAGCATCTGACAGAAATGAACCTGCATCGCCTTTGATGGATTCTATCCCACTTTCTTTGCATCCTACCCTCTTCTTCATGATCCATTCCTCCTTTTTTTTTTTCCACTCTGCAACATCCTTTTTTCGTGTCTAAAGATTAGAGCTCCACTTCTTGATCTTATCTGAACAAATCAATTTCTTATACCTTTTTTCTCAGAGGTCACACTTGTCACATTCATCTGGAGTCTCTCTAATTGCTCCGTGTCCTTCCCAGCACACGGCACGATGTGCACACAGTTCACCAGATGAATTAGTGGGATTTCTGAAGTACTGGGGGTTCCTTTCTCTCTGTGCTCTCATAATTTGCCTGTTTCCTTGCAGCTGAGCACTGGATCCGAGTTGTGGCTCGGGCCCAAGTCCTTGCAGGGAGCTTTTTGGCATGAACATGTAGGGTTAACCAACCCCAACCCGCAGCAAAGTAATTGAATTACTTCATCTGACGAATTCAAATCTATGGTGACCTATCTGCCACTTCTAGGAGAGGAAGAAGAAGCTGAGGTTGTCAGATGATAAATTATCCATTGCAAATTCATGAATTCATGAAGGCCAGAGGGGACCATTTTGCTCTGCCCTCCTGCCTAACCCAGACCGTGGGACGTGACCCGGCGATTGCTGTGTCATTAACGTGGGAGTGACCCCTTTGCCCAGAGCTCTCTGGAATTCCATGTCTCTGGCTGCAGCCCAAACTGGAAGCTGGCCTCCACCCTCCTTTCCCTCACTCCCCTTTCCATTGTTTCATTGTTTCTCTGAAGGGCAATTCCTCTCTCTGCCCACACGCAGGGAATGCCAGCCCAGCATCCTCCGTGGCTGGGGAAGGGCTGGAACCAGTGGCAGCAGCAGCTGGTTTGCATCTTTTGCACTAATATTCTTCACTTGAAGAGGGGTTGGGGAGAGGGGGGAGGCATGTTCAAACCTACCCCCTAGAAATACCCAAATCTTTTAGGGCTGAACAGTTCCTTTTTTTTTTTTCCCCATGTGCTTGTGAAAAGCTGCTTGCACCAGGATGTTTGCTGCTGTCAGGGAAACCACAACCTGGCTAAAAACTGCCTGCTGTGAGGCACAAAGTCCCAGCCCGGCCCACAGGTTGGTGATGATCCTCCCACAGGGGCTTCTGTGGCAGAGGGATTCCTTATTTTTGGGGTGATGAGGCACCCAGGACACCATCCCACCTCCCTTGGAGAGGAGGAAACTCTGAGCTGGATGCTTTCAGCTTTCTCTGCTGTGGTTTATCTACAGGACTGAGGCTGTTCCTAAGCCGAGACACAGATCCAGGTTTGTTTATGGGGTTTTGTTTTGAATGTAAATGCCCAATCAATTAGCTCTGGGGAAAGAGGCTTTTGTGGTTTGCTAGTGGGGTGTTATTGAGGATGTTTTTTCGCCGAGCAGGATCTGGGTTTACTCTTGAGAGAGGGGTTTTCAGCAGGTCCCCAGGGTGAAACAGTCCAGTAAGCAAGTATTGCTCTGGATTCCCTCCAGCCACAGAGTTCTGTGTGTGCAGGGTAAGCTGCTGGAACCCAGAGAAAGCCACAGTTTATAACTGTGCTGCTTTGGGGGTTTCTGTGACAATGACAATGTTTAATTTGCTATTGCTGGGTAAGTGGTACTAATTTTCAGACAGGCTTCTGCTGAGTGACCAGCTCACCAACTTCCACAGGGACATCTCAAGCCTTGGGAAACAAAGGCAGCTGGATGCAGTGTTTGAGGATGAGCTGCATCCATCTCTAGATAACAGTTTAATAAATATTAAAGGTCACGAGGTTCAACAAGACAGAATTAACTGAAAGAAGCTGTTGTGGGCTGGAGGGAAACACCCCTTTTCCAGGTGGATTCCTCCCTACCAAAGACAGCAGCCAGACTTGGCTTTGTGGCTGAACCTGCTCGTGGCACAGCCCTGCCAGGTCCTGCTCCCAGCTGCTCCTCCGGGATGCCTCCAGGTGCAGACACTTCCTTTCGAAGCCAAAAAGGCTTCGGCTCAGCCAAAACTGCTTCTCCTAATCACGGATTTAAGCGGCTACACCTGGGGCGGGTCAGACACCGGTGAGGTTGGGTCACATCCCTTTGGCGATATCGCGTGTGGTGCCCTCGCCTCGCTGTCCGGGGGTGCTGTGGGAGCTGCCGGGTGAGCGGGGAGGCACCGCAGGGGTCGGGAGCAGGGAGGGTGAGGAGGTGCGAGCGCAGGGGATGCGAGCGCGGGGCGCGGGGGTGGCCGGGGCGCGGTGCCCGCAGCGCGGGGCGCCCCGGCCGGGGCTCGGCTCCCCCGTCCCACGCCGTGCCGGGCGGGAGGCAGGGCCGGGCCGGGCTGACATCAGCCGGAGGAGGGGCCTGCCCGCGAGTTTCTTTGCTCGGTGCATCACTTCCCGGCGCTGCCATACTCCGCTGCCCGCTCCCCGCCGCGGGGCCGGCGCCCATGGCGTGCCCGCCGGGCGGGGACAGCCCGGGCTCCGCCGCCCGACGCTTCTACTGCAGGTGAGCCCGTCCCGGGACGAGCCCGGTCCTGGGGAGAGCTGAGCCCCGGCGGCAGCGCCGTCCCGGCCCCGGGGCTGCGGCCACCCCCGCGGCACCGCGCTCATCCCCGCCGGGCGAGGAGCTGCTGCTCGCGTGGGGATCCAGCCCGGAGCAAACCCAGAGGAGTCGGGGGGGAAAAAAACCGCTCCGGGGCAGCTCCCGCTCGCGTTGGGTGCCCGGTGGGTGTCCTTGGAGGGATCGGCTCCTCCGCTGAAGGAGGGTGATGCTGAACGCTGGTCAGCGCTGGGTGCTCACACGGGAGGCTGGGATCGCACTGCGGAGGCTCCCGAGTCTCGGCTTTAAAACTGGGCGCTACAGGAATTCGCACAAGGCTGGAAGAAAATAGCTCCAGGCTGTTTAGCGTTCGCGGGAATGCCGTGTCTTGCCCATTCTTCTCAAGGCTGAAAGCAAAGAAGGCTAAACGAGTCACTTAAGAGGCCTCACCACGTTGTTGTTCGTGCTGTTGATCCTCGTGTTTTATTTCTCCTCTAGCAGTCACAAGTGGAGGTGATGCAGTAGCTGGACTCGAGGGGTAAAAAAAGCCAAGAATTCTTGAAGTGTATGAACTACGGCAGCTTTTCATCAGTTCTCTTTGCATGCTCTGCAATAATTAGCACCCACAGCTAGTGGGTGTTGGTTCATCAGGGCAGCAGGTGTTTCTTGGTTTTGTTGTATTATTTAGCGACTCCTGGGAAAATGAAAGGAGAATGCAGAGTTAAAAACCATTGCTCTACCTACTCTGGTGGAGCTGGATTTTAATCTGACTGAGGCTTTTTCTTTCCTTCTCTCTTTTGTTTTGCTTGGAAACTTATTGAGGACTAGATTTTGGTCCTTTCTGTGAAGGAAATTCTAGTGTGGGGCTGAGTCCTGCTAACACGTGCCTGTCCAGCACAGTGAACTCTGCTACCAGCTGTGAGGGAAGGAAAAGAGAAGAGAAAGGGGAGGCACCTCTCCTGTGGCTTATCTGGGTGGCTGTGGCAGGGTGTGTGGTGTTGGAAGTCCCTGCTGTGCTTTTCAGGCCTTGAAAATAGGTGTTGGTGGAGCCTCTGTGTCCTTACAGCGCTGTGAACTACGCTGAGAGTTTCTTAACTCCACTTGCATTGCAGTGTTGAAACTTCTGGGTTGAAGTAAATGACTCTGAATTCCATCTGGTAGGCACGTCTGGATGACAGGTGGAATCTCAGGTGACAGTTTGGGTGGTAAAGCCGTGGTGACTGCTATCAAAGCCTGGGTTTTTTGTTTGGTTGGTTGGTTTGTTTGATTTTTTATTTTGTTTGTTTGTTTGTTTTCTGGGAACATTGACTCAGGTGTAAGAACTGCAAACCCTGGACTGTCATTCCTGAGAGTTCCAGGGCCCAGTCCAGCAGTGTTCACAGAGCTCTGCTGGATTTGGCCCTTTGCTTTATGAGGCCTCTCTGGAGGCTTCTGGGTGTGGGAGGGACACATGGGCATGTCCTGGGCAAGCCATCACTGAACTGCATTGGCATCACGGAGACATTATTGATCCCCACAGAAAGAACAGCAGATGAGGCTGCAGTCGGTCCAGAAATGTATTAATCTGGCATGAGAACTCAGATAAAAGCACACCTTGTTCCTTCCTTTCCCTTCTCTGTTTTCTTGCAGTCTCTGTGTTTTCAATATCCCTGTTGGCTTTTGTAATGTTTGGAAACTTTTCTTGATTGTGTCATAAACAGTCTCCATCTCGCTCATTAGTGTCACCACAGCGAGGACCTGACCTGAATGTGCAGCAGGCAATTAGAGAGTGCTCTGAGAGGAGGCATCTTCCTCCTGCTCTGATGGGAAAACTGGCAGGCAGGAATTGCTTGGCCTTCTGACACGGAAGGCAGTGAGTGAGGGAACAACTCAGCGTGGTGGTTAAGGCAGAATGAACTGGTTTTTGCAGAGAAAATTAGAGAGAAAATCCACCATTGGGGTCAACCTTCCTCTGGAGTGGTTCCAAGGGATCATAACATGAAATATTCTGATATTTCCATGCTGCTAGTTCTTGGAAACTTTCACGACTTTTTAGGTCTGGACTCTGTATAATACTAAAAGCTCTCCTGTTTCCAGGAGGTGGTATTTAATGGTATCTGCCCCAGAGGTGAAAATTAGCACCAGCAGCAGTGCTAGTTTTGGGAAAATGCTATTAGCTTCTTCTATGGGATTGGGAAAGGGCTCAGGTGCACTACCAGACATTTTGCCTCTCTTTTCTCCATGGATCAAAGCTGAAATTGCTCAATTATTACATTGGAGAAAGCTGGTTCAGAGAAAGATTCCAATTTTATTTCTGCAGGCCCCTGCCTGATGGAGCCTGACTGCAGAAGGATGTGAAAAACAGGGCAACCATTTCTAAAATAGCTGTGCTGCATAATAGGTGGCCTGAGCAAAAAATTACATGATAGCTTAGCAGGCGGTGTTGGCAGTGCTGGTTGTGCTGACATCTCTTTTTGGGACATGTTGAACGACTCACTTGTACATTCAGCATCTGTGAGTCATCTGGTCAATCCCAACGTTGTGGTCAAGGCCAAGGTGGAGCCAAGCAGGACATTTAATCTCTACCACAGCAGGGAGAGCAAATTCATGAGACCCTTGCTCAGACCTCGGGTTTGGAGTCAGTCAGTGCCTGGCTGCTTTTTCAGGTTTCCCCAGGAGCTCGGGCATCCTTTTTGGTGTTTCTGTGTTTCCCCTCGTTGGGATGGTGGGGGGAGAAGCTCTGTCCCTGTTCCCTCTGGGTAGGGATGTGCCTCGTGCCTCTAGAGTGTGATCCTCCTGTGCCCTGTGGGTGCTGCTGCAACACAAACAGTCGTGGCTTCAGGGTGTTAATTGGACTTGTAGGTGCAGGTGGGAATGGAGCTGAGGTGATTCCCTGCCTCTTCCCTGTGCTGACTTGCACCTCACTGACTGAAGCTCTGCCAGACCTCCTGCTTGCTGTGCCTCTCCCGGGTGAGAGCTGTCCCTGTGGATGCTTTATCCCAAAATTCCGTGTGTTGTACAAGGAGCTTGTGCCAAGCAGAGTAGAAAGGGAACTCTGTGTGCTGGCCACGTGTCTGTGGCTTCTGTGGAGTTCTCTCCCGAGTCAACTGAAGTTTAAATAAGTTTGACTCATGTGTGTGTTGCCTGAGGGCACCAGTTCCCTGTGAGATAAATATTAATAATCTATTGATCACACCAGAGCCTGGCTGAGCACAGAGCTGGGTGGGGAGGTTCACTCCATGTGTGCTGGGTCCCCTTCAGGCTCCTGCTGGCTCCAGGTCTGGTCAGAGCCTTGGCTGGTGTCTGCAGCATGACCTGCTTGTGCCACGTGAAGCTCTCATGTCATGAATTTCTCTTTTCCTGGAGGATGTAGCCACTTAGGAATCTGCTTCCCCTTATTTTCAAAGTTAGGGGGACTGTGCTTATTACACCAGAGAGGATGAAAATGTGTTGTGAAGGTTGAGAAATTGATTTGTTAGAGAAGAAGGATTTTTAAAATCCTCTTTGGCTGTTCCTCTCTCGAGCCAAGTGCAGCTGGACCATGACTGCTCTGGTGATGATAGCAGAGACTTGGAGGGGATGGGAGAGTAGAAATTCCTGGGTGAAGGAGATGGGAACAGGCTGCACAGCTCTGTTGGCATTCCCCTCCTCCTCCAGTTCAGTGATGTGTCCCAGACATTGGATTTATTCCTGATATGTTACATAAACCACAGGGGAAGCCTTGCCTTGGTGGTGCCTTGAGGATGAGCAAAGTCACAGCCAGGAGCAGAAAGGTTTAAAATTGGCTCTGCTGGTAAAAGTCTGGGGAATCAGCTTCTTCCCTCCCTGATCCAGCCCTCAGGCTTGGAGGGAAACATCTGCAGCTGGCTGTGCAGATAGGAGGGGGATGTTTTTATGGGGACTACCAGAATCACTTGGTTTGTTAAATGAGAATCATCAGGATGGAAGATGCTGTTCTGCTTTAAGAGCAGTTTTATCTCCCAGTTGCTGCTCAGGTGCTCCTGGTGCTGTGTCCCATCTCTCCCATTCCAGTCCTGCTCTGTGTGTTGCTCTGATCAGCCAGCCCAGCTTCCAGAGTTCAAAGCCACTTCCCTGGTCTAAAACCCCCCTGCCAGCCAAAACCATGAAACCCAAATTCCTCCTGCTCTGGGCACTCAGGCTGCACATCCCAACCACAAAGTGGGGCTGTGGAATTCTGAGCCCGGGCTATTTATTGTCAGTTGGGAAAGCTTTCCATTGACTGAGCTGCTCCCTCCCTAAAGATACTTTTAATGAAATTTTATTTGGCAGATCTGACTTTCTAACTGGCTTAGTTTTAACTGGTGTAAATGGGATTATTAATTTTTTTTTCTGATGAAAGAAAAGTAGGAATAATTTTGTTGGAAGGCTACTTAACATTCAGAGTCACCTCTGTCTGGTGTTTGATGTAATAAGCTGATAGAGTCTATTAAAAAAAAAAAAAAGCCAAAAAAATCTCCCACAGCCAGAAAGTCACAAGTTCTTGGTGAGGAGAAGGGGAAAGGGCCAAGGCTGCCTCTAGTTTGGAGCTCTCTAAACAATGCCCAGCATTGTTATGCAACTATCTAGGGAAGGAAGTGAAAAATTATCATTACAGTGCAGTTTCAAGGGCAATATTAAATGAGCAATTTGCAGCACAACCCTGTACTTAAGTGACTTAACTGGCTTCTCCCAGGATAAAATTAACAGGGCTGGTAAGGGCAATAGCCATGACCTCTCTTCCCACCAGGAGTGGAGCAAATACAGGCTCTTTTTGGAACTGAATCTGAGCCTTCAAAGTGAGCAGCCAAACCCAAGCCAGTGCAGTGGCCTGATCCTGTAAGTGCCTGATTCATCCCTGTCCCACTGAAACCTGGGAAAGGGGAAGGAAGCCTGTCCTGAGGCATCTTATGGATCCTTAATTCAGTGGAAGGAATAAAAAGACCCTCTGCAAGTCCCCAGGCACTGGAGCAGCAACACAAACCCTGAAT